TTGCATTTATATAGCGCATATCCATGCTCAAGAGCTTGCTCTATGCGCTTCGCAACAATTTCATCATCATCGTCGTCTACACAATAATTTATATAAAGGTTCTGATCAGGATTAGATAATAGTTCTGTTCACAATGAGATAATTATTATGTTCACAGTGAGATAGTGGTTCTGTTCACTATGCTCCTGTTCACAATAGGATAATGCTCTTGTTCACAAAGAGATAATGCTCCCTGTTCACAACGAGATAATGGTTCTGTGATTCTGTTCTCAAAGAGACAATAGTTTTTTTCCACAATGAGTTAACGGTTCTTTTCCCTCTCCTCTCCCGCGCCTCCAGGCCAATGCCAGGTGCCAACCATCATGAATGGAACCATCACCAACGGACGAGAGGGCGTGTGGGTTGACCACGCCACCGTCATCAGACCTCGCTGTCTGCACGGGCTGGTACTCAACGACTCCAGACCTGTCACCTGCTACAACGGTACCTGGACCATCATTCCGCGCTGTGTGCCTGGTGAGCTTTATATATGAATATTTTTAATTAAAATAATTTTTAATCTATTCCTTTATTTATATTTTACTGGCTGGTTTGCGTGTTGTCTGTTTGTTTGTTTCTTTCTTTCTTTCTTTCTTTCTTATTGTGTTTGTTTGTTTATTTGTTTGTTTGTTTGTTTGTTTGATGGAGTTTTATGTGGAAGGGGGAGGGGGGGTGTATACCTGTTTGATGACTGTTGTTTGTTTTGGGGGTTTTTGTTGGAGTTTTTTGTTTGTTTGTTTTTTTTCTTGTTATTGCTTTTTTTATTTTCATTATTTGTTCCATGATTGGTTGGTTGAATGATTTTTTTGATTTTTTTTATTTTGAGGGGGGGGGGGGGGGGGTGTCTTGGGTTGTTACTTACCAGTCCGTGGCCGTGGATTGGTTGGGTTGGGGTTTTTTTTTATTCATTTGTTAGTCGAATAATATTAGTTGTTCGGTAGCCTAATTAGTTCTTTGCTGGGGTGGTTATTTGAGTGTTTGATTCTTTGGTTGGTTGGTTGGTGTTTGCTTGTTTGCTTGCCGGTTTGCTTGCTTGCCTGGTTGCTTGGTTGGTTGGCTGGTTGCTTTGTTGTTTGTTGGTTGGTTGGTAGATAGATACTTCAGTTTGTTGGCTGGCAAATAGGTTTTTTGATAGTTCTGATGATTGACGTGTTAGTTTTACTGTCCCCGCAGAATTATGCAAATTTAGATGGCCAAATTATGCAAGAAAAATGCAAAATTATGCAAAAATTATGCAAGTTACCGTAAAACTATTTGCAACATGTTTTGCACTTTTTCAACAAGCATGTTCATGTTTTATGTACAGAAAAATTGAAAACAGAACATATCAGTATCAGTAATCTGTTGTGTATTTGGAAAGAAAACGAAAAACATCAGTCAGAAAAAAAAATCAACCAAAAAATATTGTCTCTGTAACCAGGGGCGAAGGCTGACTTGTTTGACAGGGTAATCAAAGTGAAATGGGACTAAATATGGCCTGTAGATATCACACAAGAATCTCACTCGAGGCGGCGACTCTGAGTTGTGAATGAAAACAAATCCGGAATTCATATTGTATGTTCAACCGCCAAAATAATCGGGAAAGTATCTTATTAAATATCAGTTCCCACTAAAATTAAACTTAACTTTAGATGTGAATACATAAACACAAAGCAAAGAAGCAGAGATGTCAGTACTAGATCTATATGTTATAGATCTACCAGTGAGTCTAACTCTTTGGTAGAACATGACAATTATTATTTTTTAAATTTCACATTCGGCTGTTTTTGTTAGCCTTTCGCGGCCAGGAGCTGGTGTCATAATCGAGGTCACGATCTGATTATAGGACGGTAAAAAGTCGAAGAAAAAAAACAAGCACAAGCAGCAGTCAAGAGATTATTAAGAGTTAGTTCCCCTCACATTTGTGAGGTAGACTCGACCAGTGTTAGTTAGCTTACTTAATCAGGGCTTGTGATTGATTTTTAACTGTGGCCCCAAAAGGGTGAACAGGGTATATGTGGCAATGAAACAGCTTTGACTGCCATGCACATGTTCCCTTCAACTCTATTCCAGCCTCACTTTAAGTTTAAGCTTACTTAATCAAAGCTTGCGACTGCTTATGGAGTGGCCCGAGAGGGGTGAGGAGGCTATTTCTGTGGCCGTGAAACCGTTTTGAATGTTAGGCATACTGTTCGTTGTTGGTTACGAACGTCTTTTTACATTTAACTTATGAGGTTTACGTTTAAGGATGAATTTGACAGCGACAATGTTTCAAAATTAGAAAGGGAAGCAGTGATTATTTGATTATATAGACGCTTCGCCCCTGTCTGTAACTTTTAGCTATCTATTTATAGAGGTAAGAAAAATGTTAAAAAGAAAAAAAAAGGACGTCTAGACATCTGATGCTAGCATTTCACTAAAACCAGGGACACCTGTCAAACATGAAACATCAGCAGACATGAGAGCAACTTTTGATGGATTGAAAAATTGAACATGCTCAAGGAACAAAATCCCCGATCCAAAACCAGATCCAAGATCTTCTAACAAGGGAAATAACCAACTTATCACTTAAATGAGACTTATTACGGTGATTACTTCCCTTTAATCACACGGCGAGGCGTTAAATAATATCGTTTTGTGAAAAATGAAAAAAAACGTGAAAAAATGCGGGGAATCCAAAATTAGGCAAATGCTGCAGAATAACGCTAAAATACGCGGCCCCACAATCGCATAAGCCGAAGGCGACAGGTTTTGGGGGGCATTTTTTATACTTACTCGTTCGTAAATTTATTGTTCAGATGATTGAACAGTTTTCATTATTTTTTTTTTACATTTTTTTTGCTTTCTTGTTCTCTGATTTATTATTTATAAATATTTGGAGGGATTCTTTTTCTAATTTGTTCGAGGATTGCTTTTTAAACAAATATTTGTTTGTTATTTTTAATGTAGGCCTTTTTATGTTTCCACCAACACAATCTATTTTATTTATTTGGCGGGCGTCGATCATCATCATCATCATCATCATCATCATCATTATCATCATCATCATCATCGTCATCATCATCATCATCATCATCATCATCATCATCATCCTTATCATCATCGTCACTAATTTCCTAGGTTGTTTTTTTAATTTCATTTTTAAAGAACAGAGACACATGATATTTACTAACAAAACAAAACAATCCTAACTCTTGTTTCTCTATTCTACTCAATCCCCCCCCCCCTGGGAAACCAGCCCCGTGCAACGCTCCTCCCCCGCAAGTGGACAACGGTCACCGAGTGTTCTTCGGCCTGTCCCACGGGTCCAGGGCCCGCTACTTCTGCATAGCCGGCTTCAAACTGTCCACCACCAACCGCTACATGCACTGCGAGTACGGTCAGTGGACGGGGGACAGACCCACCTGTGAGGAAAGTGAGTACGCCGGTGGCGTCGGTGGCTTAGTGGTTAGGCTACCGGACTCGTAATCGTGAGGTCGCGGGTACGGTTTGGGGGTTCGAGCCGCGGACCCGACGATGTGTCCTTGGGAAAGGCACTTTACACAAATTTTCCTCACTTCACCCAGGTGGGAATGGGTACCCGGCCTTAGACAGCGAAAGAACTTCTCAGTATGTTAGTGTTTTTGCGCCAATAAATGGCTGCGTGCACTGTATGCTTCCCAGGAAGTTGAGGTCGTTTCATAATGCTCTCAGGTCTGCTGGGGTAGTACGAGGTAGTTTAGATTGTGAAGCGCATAGTGCTTGTTGTTGAGCGGGGATTTGCGCTATACAAATGCTATCTATTATTATTAATTTATTACACATAATGAACTCTTTGAGGACACACATTCTGGTCTTTTGACAGCAGTCACTACCTCAGAATTACAAAGTTCTGTCTGACATTTTTGGCCGTTTTGAGTTACTTAGACCATGAGGTCAAAATGAGTACATAATAAACTGTTTGAGGACGCTCTTTCTGGTCTTTTGACAACAGGTGCTACCAAAGAAGATAATAATATACACTGAGCTCGCAGCAGGGGCGTCACATTTGTCAGACATGGGGCCTTCTTATCCTCATCGGCATGGCTCGCGTGCTCCCATATTTACATAAACAATCTAAGATCCCACCCCGCTCCCCACGTGCATTAGTATATTAAACACCACCCTGCCCCTGCAAGCTTTTAGATGTCCTCCTCAGACCGCCGAGACGCCTCCACGTGAGTTACAAAAAGTACTCACCCTCTGTTGAACTGCGCATGTCTTGCCCTTGGGGTTCAGCGTCTCAGAATGGGCAGACGCAGCCCCCGTTCGTGTACGTGGTGACATCACTGCCACGAACTCTAATACTGTTAATATTAAAATAAACTCTTTGGTTCCTACCCTAGAATTACAAGGTTCTGTCCGACGTAGCAGCGGTAGTCTATAGGCTACCGGATTCGTTATCATGAGGTTGCGGGTTCGGGGTTCGAGCCTCAGGCCCGACGTTGTGCCCTTGGGAGAGGCACTTTACGAGAATGTTCCTCACTTCACTCAGACCGGAAATGGGTACCTGATCATAGACAGGGAAAGATCTTGTCGTATGTTAGTGTTTTAGCGCCTATAAAATATGAAGTTGGGATTGTTTGGGAATGCTATCAGGTCTACTGGGGTAGTAGTATAGAATGTAAAAGTGCATACCACATACAATTCCCCACTATAATATGCCCCCCCCCCCAAACCCCTCTCCCATCCTTCCAAATAACATAATCATCCTTTATGATGTG